AAATAATATTTTCAAAGTAATGGGGCTAAATGTGGGAAACAAGAATTTCAGGGACTGATTTACTAATTATTAAAACCTTGAGACTGAAATAATAATTTAAAATGATATGAAATAAAGTTCAAGGGTTTAATTGAAAATTTAAGAAACTGAAATTAAAAGTTTGATGATTGAAATAGACTTTTTGAAAGTAATGGGCTAACTGCTGAAAACAGAAACTCCAGGGGCTGTTAAAAACGAAACTCTATGGACTGAAATTGATACTTTTAAAACCTGGGGGCTGGGGGTAAATTCTAAAATCAAAATAAAACAAAACCATCTCTCTCTCTCTCTCATTTCAAGCCAAAGAGAGGAGAGAGAGGGTGACGGGAAGGGGCGAAGCCCCTTCCTCCGTTTTCGCCACCGGTCGATGGCAACGCTACCGTCTCGTGGTGGCGCTGGTGCAAGGTGGGGGCTGCTGTGTGGTTTTTGGCGCACGAGTTGAAGGCAACCGAAGCGAAAGGGCTCGAGTTTGTAGGGTTTCTTCTTGGCATTCAATTTGGAAATGGGTCGGAGAATGAGGTAAGTGTATGGGTTTTGGCTTTTCTTGGTTTTTGTGGTTGTTTGAGGTGGATTTTGGGTGAGGCTGGCTGTTGATTTTGGAGGTGAAAGAGTGGCGGTTTCGGTGGATTTTGGGTGTCTACTTGCAGTTTGTGGTATGATTCAGAATTGGATTGTGTGTTTGGCTGTAGTTTGGTGTTCGAAACTTGGGTTGAGGTTGCAACTCGTGTGTGCTTGCAACTGGGTTTTGGCTGTGTTGTGAGGTGGTGGTGGAGGTAAACTCAATTGTAGCTTGTTGCAATCGGGGATGGTAGATTGTTGATGCTAGAAATTGATGTTCTAACATCAATGGTGAGTTTCCAAATTGAGGGAGATGATGGTTTTCTTACCAATTTTTGTTGGCTGCGTGGGGTGTGAGGAGTGGATGGAGGTGAGCTGTTATATGAACAGTAATTTAGGGCACAGATTTCTAGGAGTTTAAATGGGCCAGAAAGTTGGGCTGTAGGGATTTTCATAATTGGGCCTAAATGGATTGAGTTAGAATAATCGAAATTGAGCTAATAGAATGTTGGACCCTAAATAAAACTTTGCACTTATAATTATTAAATTTGGATTTTAAAAAAAAATGATAAGAAATTCGATATTCTTTGGAATTAAACTTGACTCGAATAGTTTAAATTGATTTTACAACGGTTAGACGAATACGCTTTAATTTCAAAATTTGAGGTTAAAGTTTAGCGACACTTTTTTTTTCAAGATAATAATTTTATATTATTTAAAATTTCTCGGTCGCTTACACCTAAGGCCCCGCTTTGACAGGGTACCAAATTATATAAGATTAATTGGTTGGTTGTAGAAAAATAAAAATTATAATTACGAAATTCTTTAAATTAGAATTATGATATGCAAACACAAAAAAAAAACTAATAAAATTTGAAAATACGAATAGTTCTAATATATTTATGTATCATATAAATATATCTGTCATTACTTTTTCAGTATATAATTAATTTGACTCTTTATCTTCCAATCATCATTTTTCATTTTTCTTAAAAAGAAGCAAATTGTCACTTTTCTCTTTTCAAAATTTATGATCATTACTTTTTCTAATGCTCTAATGGTGGGTCTTACACTTATTCAAGGAATTGATACTAAATGCACTGGTATTCATTTATCTATCTAGGTTGTTGCATTTTGTCTTATCTTGCTAAATATAAGGGCCAGCGATGGCAAAGAATATGTTGAAGAAAATGTTAGTTTAAGTGAAAAATAATTATATCTATCAGGAGGTCATTTTTGGCCAGACTCATAGCTGGAATGGACAACTGTTATAGCTTCACTTATATATGTCTGATTGGATTCCTTCAGTAGCTCTGAAGAAGTTTGGAACTTAATTATACATATAATTAAAGTCTAATGGTTGCCCATATCACCGGGTCAGAGTTTGACCCGAAGTCAATTGATTGATCGAATTGTAAAAATCGAATTTGAATTAAATAAAAGTCAACACTCATCTTTGATCAAATATTTGGAAGAGCTTTAGTTAACATGAAATAGATTTGTTCGAATCTATTTAAAGATTTGATCATTAAATATAATTTTTTAATCTCTAGATTGTGTTCTTGAATATGCCTTTGTTTACGTTTCTTAGTCGGACCTATCAAGTGTAATTTAAACTTGGAGAATATTAAAGTAATTCAATAAGATTTGTTTATTCAAAGAGAATCAAATTCTTCAACTAAGTAAAATTATCACTAGTCAAGTATTCCATTTAAAACGTGTATATGATTGATTAATTATCTAGAATACATCATTATCCTGAATAAAAGAAAATACTTATTTTCACGTCTTTTGGAACTAAATTTACAATAATGAAAATAACATTGAGTTAATCCCCAATTCATTTTGCCAAAATCATTCTTACCTCATTTGATACCTAAAATTATATAGAACTGGTTGGGACTTAAAAAGAGACGTATATGATATAATAATGGTATCCTTTCTACCTAATTCCATTAGTATTAATACGAAGAATGCGCTTTTGATTTATTTTTTCTCTCCTTCTTGGAAAAGGAGTTTTCCCCCCTTTCGCCATGAAAATCAAGACTTTTACTACTTTTATTTCATCCTTTTTTGGGCCATTGTTCTGGTAGAGATTACAATCAGATTTTTAATAGATTTTGATAAAAATTAGATGAAATGTAGGTTAAAAAGTCGTGGATCCTATAAAATATGTGATTAAAATTAAATATTGACTTTGATTTAGATAAAGATCTTGATTTTAATCCATACCAAACAGGGCTTAATATAGTTGTTAAAGTCAACTCAAAAGTCAAGATCTTTGACTACTTTCATTTCATTCTTTATTCTTTACTTGTGAAAGTCCAATGTCAACATGAAACGACATTATATTAACTATTTTATATAAGAGAAAAAAAATGATTGGTACTAACAAACATCTTAGGTAAGCTGCCAATTTAGCCAGGATTCCAGCATAGAATTAATTATTTTCCTCATTTTCTTTTAAATATTGTCTAGACCTGGAATATCATGACAATAATTTTATATTTCCTCTTTCCTTCCATAAATCAAATTTTTTTGTGGGGACATGTCTGACACACAAGATTAGAACTTAACAACGAACGAACATATCGCCCAACTCTCTATTTTCCTCTGTCCAGTCTAGGCATCGCCTATATTGCAATATTACATTACAAATCCAAAAATTCAAAGCACCTAAAGGGCATAACCTAACACTCCAAAATTGGACAATGTCAAGTTGCTTTAAGCAAAGTTCAAACTTCACAACATAGAACAGCAACTTTATGGCATGTGAAAACACCAAGAATTCATGTGATCGAGTAATGTCATATTAGTCTGTTAACCCGTATTTTTTAGCAAGACACTTGACACAAATTAATTGAGAAAAGTAGTGGTCGTAATATAACAATAGCTGTTTGCAATCAAAATCACAATAACAACTAGGCAGAAAGTCACACTCTCCCCAAGTCCCTGCAAAAAAGAAACACAACTCAATTCCCACCTCAAAACCATAAACCTTTCACTTTCCCCCGTCAAAGAACCAACCAAATTCACAAGAATGGAGGGTGAACTAACAAAAAGTAGCAAAAAAATGTGAAAATTACTAGTCTTCATGAAAATGAAATGAGGGCGGATATAAGGCGCATATTATAAGGTGTCTAGTAAGTAGCAACGTAATTCGAGCTTCTACACAACCATGCCGTTTTCAAAGAAGATTGGGAATTACCAGTTCATTCAGACAATTGGAGAAGGAAGTTTTGCAAAGGTGAAGTTGGCAATAAACATGGGGAATAAGCAATATGTTGCGATCAAGATCATAGATAAACAAATGGTGATGAAACTCAATCTCATGCATCAGGTAACTACCCACTCTTTTTCCCTCATCCTATGATATCTCTTACTCAGTAACAAGAAGTTCATCATTCAGGTGCTACAAGAAATTAGGACGATGAGGCTTCTACATCACCCCAACATTGTTCGTATACACGAGGTACGCTGGTCTCTTTCACTTCTTATACTAGAGGGCAGTTTCCCAGGGCTTTTGAAAAGCTAAAAACTGCTTTCGAGACTAAGAAGAAGCTTTTGGGCCCGTTTGGATAATTATCTAGAACTGCTTTGTCTCGTTAGAAGAGCTTTCAAAGAAAACTGGTCAAAAGCTCTTCTATAAGAAGCACAAGCAGAAGCAGAAACTATCCCAAACAAATCCTAAGACACTGTTGTGTTTTCTTTGTCAAGTGTTCACCATCAGCTAATAAAAATAACAGGTAATTGGAACGAAGACCAAAATTTACATTGTGATGGAATACATATCCGGTGGTCAACTTTCCGACAAGATGGTGAGCTTCATATATAAGCTTATCAAAATTATTTGTGGAAAACTTTGAACTCTGATGCCAAATTTACTGTCTGTCAGTCATATTTGAAGAAATTAAAGGAAACAGATGCAAGAACATATTTTCAGCAGCTAATTGATGCAGTAGATTATTGCCATAGTAAAGGAGTATACCACAGAGATTTAAAGGTATTGCATCAATCTTGATTCTCCTTAAATAATAGAAGACAATTGAGACTAAGTAGGATTTTGTAAATTTCATTTGCAGCCACAAAACTTGCTTATAGACAGCAAGGGAAACCTTAAAGTTTCTGATTTTGGACTTAGCACATTGAGAAAGGTAGAATGTATGACTAATTCAATCTGTGCTTATTTCTGGAAAAGTATGTATTATCTTTCTAATACAAGAAATGCTATTGGCTTAACAGCCAGGAACCCTGCTATCCACCTCATGTGGTTCTCCAAGCTATGCAGCACCAGAGGTAACAAATTTTCCATTCTAAAAATAGCTACAACTTCTGAACTCTTCAAGCATGTTTGGCAGAGCTTATAAAAAGGTAAAAATTACTTATAAAAGCCCATAAATTTGCTTCAGTAATACCTGATGCTTCATGAGTAATGACACAGCTGCTTTCCAGTAAAGCCTACGAAGGAGCGGCTGCAGATATTTGGTCGTGTGGAGTAATTCTTTTTGAATTACTGGCTGGATATTTACCCTTCAATGACAGTAATCTAACAAGCTTGTACAGAAAGGTACGCGTTATATATTTAAAATTTAGTGCAAGTTTTCAGATCAAATATCGAATTTCACTTTATGCAGATATATAGAGCAGAATACAAATTTCCAGAGTGGTTCACAACAGACCAAAAGAAGCTTATCTCCAAGATACTAGAACCAAATCCAATTAAGGTAAACTTTGATAACAAATACCAATACCTTCAAATTAAGATCAAGTATGTAATATTTATCTCTTTTGTTATGCAGCGAGTGACAACTGCAGAAATTTTAGCAGATCTGTGGTTTCAGACAGATTATGAGCCAGTGATGCATATAAAATCTGACGAAAATATCAAAACGGATGATTTTCAGGCAGTTTTTGATATAATAAAGGTAACAAAAAATGGTCATAAAAGCATAATGATTTAATAGATATTAGAAATGAATTCAATTTTCACCAGGGAACTGAAGCAGAAATCAAGGATTCCCAGCCCACAAGTTTTATAAATGCTTTCCAGCTGATAGCAACATCACAAGACCTAGATTTGTCTGGCTTATTCGAAGAACAGGCAAGTACACATGTTCGTTTTGGAAATTACTTATTAAAATAATTACTTAACAAAATGAAATTCTGAAAATTCTTGTTCAAAACTAGGAGACTGAGAAACGGAAAACAAAACTTGGATCTAAGCATACTATCAGTGAAACAGTACAGAAAATCGAAGCTGCTGCTAAGGATGCAAGCCTGTCAGTGGAAAAAATAAACACCACAAAGGTACATCCAAATTATTTTTAGCCAATTTCGTATAATTTCTCAATTCTTGACAACCCATAAAAAAATTTCAGATGAGAATGCATCCAACAAATAAGATGGGAAGGCGTTCCAAATCATGCTTGGACCTGGCAGCAGAGGTAAATGAAGTTCCATTTCCTGTCTATAATGCAGAAAATCATAATCTAACGATTTCAAAATGTCACAAATATAAGGTAACTGAGGTGGCGCCGAAGCATTGTGTTGTACAGATATCCAAATCTGCTGGAGAGCTGAAATTGTTCAAAGAGGTAGATATCCTTCTTTCATCAAGTTAATACATTTCCTCAGGTTCAAATTTACTTGTACTGACAATCTAAAATGATGACCAGTTCTGCAAGAGTTTATCAAGTATGCTAACAGAGGAATCATGTATTTCATCCCAAGTCAATGAATTGTGAGATCTCAATAGCAAATGTATTCTAGTATCCAAATATTAGTGATGTAAATTTTAGACCACAAATACATATGTATGAAGCTTTGAGGATGACATAAATGTTAAAAAAGTGTCTCAAAACTCCATTCAGAAAATTTCTGCTAGCTGATGTAATTTTTGCATTCCACAATCAAAAGATTTTAATAGACCTGCTGGAATTAGAATTTCTTGAGTTTAACTTTGCTCTCCATTATTTTTAATTTTTACATGTAAAATGCTTATAGAAAATGAATTGATTATAACATGGATTAGTTTACAGCAATACCCTCCAAAATAACAGGAAAAGATAACAAAATTTGAGCGATATCCAAAATTTAATGACATGCTAAAAATGAATATTAAAGTAAGTACAAATTATTAAGCAAATCCTTTTTGAGGTTTGAAACGTTTTTCCATTTCATAAACGGTTTTACGTACCTAAGTACTCAATCTGTGAACTAAAATATTAAAATATGTACAAGTCAAACTTTATGTCCAATGAAGTTAAAAGTGAAAAACTATGAAAAGTAGAGTGAGTTGATTTTACACATATTTTAAGGGATTTGTATAATACAAAATAAGTGACTAAGAGACTAAGGCCCTGTTTTCTTTGTCGTTTTTCAGCCATTTTCTATTTTTAGTTTCTCAAAACAACGAAAACGCGTTCTCTATCTTATTTTCGAAAACGGATTTTGGAAAATGAAAAAAATATATATACCTGAAAATAGAAAACAACCAAAACACCGTTTTGTAAAATGTTAGCCCAAAATGCCGAAAATCTACAAAACACGCGAAACGGAAGGAATGTCTCTTACCCTCACTCTCACTGAACTCTCTCCCTCTCTCACTCACCCACCTCCCTGTAAACGATCTACAGAGGCAAAACCCCAACCAAATCGAAGGCTGAAACGAGGGGACGAAGGGTGCTAGACGGGATCTTCCAATTTTGGGGCAGTTCGTTCCAGTCAAGCCGAATCGAAAGCTGAATCGATGGGTTTCAGTTTTAATCAAGATTTCTATTCTTCACATCAAGGTTTTGTTTCTTTGTTTGTGTTAATCTTTAGTTATTTGTTGCTA